CGCGTCTTCGCAGTTCGTTTCGTCAGTCTCGGTCTCTAGACAATTTTGCCGATAGTCGGGCCAAAAATGTGTCAACTTCGTACGTGGTGCAGCGAATGTGTTGCTGAGCCATGGAGGGTTCACATAAGGCCTTCTGATTCTTTAGAAACTTATTTTCGGGCTCTCTACATGTTTGTCCTTAGCTCTTGCGACTAGAAGTTGAGTGCTTGAAACCACTCATACGAGTTCTTCACAAAAATGAGTCAAGAAGTGGTTTGAAGTTCTACAGGAGATGGGCTCCATTAATAGTCTACTAAGATGGTCAACAAGGGACTCCTAAGGCTAGGTTTTGGTTTATGGGAGTAGGAAACTAAGACCTCACTAAAAATGAGGTCAACAAAGACAATGAAATATTTTGATCTCACATTTGATTTTTATAACATCATAATCTAATTGTGAAGGAGAAAATTCTCTCGAGAGTTCATGTTGGATAAGGGAATAGATAATTATCATAATCTAATTATACTATATAGGCATAATCAAGTAGGCATAATCATACTTGATGTCTATCGAGAGTTCATGTTGGATAAGGGAATAGATAATTAACTGGCCTACTTGATGTCTGTCATTGACATTCAATATGATTCATGTAATTATTTCAGCACGCATATAAATCATAATAAAATCAACATTACATAGGTTATAGGAACTGTTTATTCTTTCAGATTCTTGGATGAAACATAAAATACATTTTTTTTAACTGTTAATACTTTTATTCATGGACTTTTTTCATATATAAAAAAAAAATTCTACTTCAAAATCTAGACTAGGATATCACTGTTTTAAATTGTTTCCATAAAGAAAATTAATTAAATGCATATTTGTGTTGAAATGAATTGTACTTGTTTGCTTAATCTAAATGGTTAGCATACCAATACTTGATCACTTAACTTTATATTGATTTTTTGTTTGCCTGAAGTTTTTTGCAAGGAAAAGTGCTTATTACGTCTAGATGTCTGGTTAGTTATCATTATAGTTTCAGTAAGCGGTCTGCTTTTATTGAAGTGTAAATCCTCCTATCAATGCCTATTATGTTAACTTGTTTTTAATTTCTCCTATAACAAAACTGCAATTAAATAACCTACGTTTTCAACAAACTGAATAATCTTCAGCATTATATTTCAGAAGATTAAACACGCTATAGTTGAAGTGTTCAATTCTGTCGTTCTATTCCATTTGACCTGCTACAATCACTTGCATGTTTATTTTCAGCAAATTGAGAATAGTGTCAAAATAGTCCCCTGACTTTTTGCAGGGCTGTCATTTTAGCCCCCAAGTTTATAGTAGTGTCAATTTAGTCTCCATACTCTTCCAATATTGGTTGAAATAGTCCCCAATAAGGACTATTTTATCCCCATTAATACAGTCTAGGGATTATTTAGCACTATTATAAACTTTTGACTAAAATAGAAATAGTCGGGAACTATTTCAGCAAATGAAATCATGAATTCCTGCAGATATATGCTTACAGTTAATATTTTTAATTCATCATTTAGATTGGACATGATAAAGAAGGACTTCCTATCGGCCTACAATTAATTGGTCGTCCATGGGGAGAGGCTACAATTTTACGTGTGGCTTCTGCTGTAGAGGTAAAATTGTTCCTCTGTATACTGCTTTTATATAAGTATGTGCTAACCCCATTTTATTTATTTCCTAGAGGCTTATATGTATTGGATTCTCACTCCTTCCCTTAGTTTTTTGCCTCGCATATCCATAGCTCCTTTCTGTTATATTTTATTTAACCAGTTAATCTTGTCTTCATTTTTTTATTTTTTTATTTTTGTTCCTTTTGTAAAGAAATGATGTCAATGGTCTTAAGTTAGATTTTCTGCCCATTATATTTAACGATGATCACCAAGGGAGTTGCGCTGAAGGATGTATTTTTTTCTCTCTCAATGCTTTTTTTTTTTTTTAGAAAGAATTAAATTGAAAGGATGTATTTTTTTCTCTCTCAATGCTTTTTTTTTCCTTAAGAAAGAATTAAATTGATTTTTTTTTTTTTTGGATTAAGCTAATCTTTGAAAGCTTGTTCTCTTGTAATCATTGTACACCCGATTTCATTTACCACACATTCACTTTGTTTTTTCCCTCATGGGAAGCTTTTATCATAGATATCATTCTTTTTTGTTATTTTATTCGAGTGACTTCTCATTGACAATTTTCAATTCATCTTTGCATCACCTCTTCGTTAGTAACTTAATTATTTTTCGCATCATAACATTTGTTCCCGGTTGTAGATCTTAATTGAAAAACCTATTTTGCA